ATAGAGCTCTAGAACTTTTCAAGAGAGTATCAGAACTCCAAAAAAAATGCCATATTTTTAAATATGGTGTACCAAGTTCACACGAGTGACGAAATGTCAGAGTAAAATGTAAACGGACTAGACATCCAGTTGGAAGTACCAGAATTCCGTTCAAGTTAGCTTTCTAGTTCAAGTTAGATTTCTAGTCAACTTGAAGACAGTTGCGAATTCTGCTTAATCAGAAACCTTGTTAGTTTGAAAGTTGCAAGTTCTGATTAATCGGAAATCCTGTTAACTTGAAAGTTGCAAATTTGGGTTAATTAAAAATCTTATTAATTTGAATAGAATCCTGACAAGTTCAACCAGAATATCTTGCTCGTTCATATTTCATCAGACATCAGGTCAATCTAATCAAACTTTTTTATTCCGTGTAATAATTTCGTTTGTGGCATTTTTTAAACAGTTATTTAAATAGACGTGTAATTTATAATTGATTCGTGGATTACATAAAAATTATGTTATTATTTTGTACACTGTTAAATATTGGAGGGTCAAATTTAAACCAATTTCTTGAATTAAATAATATTTAGTTATTTTTAACTATCATGTGTGTCAAAATGTACTATTTTAACACAAAACATGTGTTTAAAAAAACAACCGCATCTAATCAACCCATTTAAGACAATATTAAGTCATTGTTTACTTAAACAAAGGTTACATTAACGTACATATAATAAAAAATAAACTAAATTTTAGTCAAATTTAATACATTTCTTAAGTTAAAATATTTAACTCCATTACATTAGTTAAATTAACGACATATTTAGTAGGAGCAGTGGCAACTTATAGGAATGGTTAAAAATAACTCAAGTTAAGTATAATTTGGCACTACGGATTTAACATTGTAACTGGGACAAAATTAGTGCAATTTGAGATCGATGTATTCGAAATTTCCCAAACGAATGTCAAGATCTAATGGAAGTAATTCGCTTTTACAACTATTAATTAAATTTGCTTTCAATTGTCTATACATTCTGCGTACCTATATTGTCCTATTTTATTGAACTAAAAATCAAAGTATCCACTTTAACTAACGAAACATTGAAATATTAACCAATTAGCGCAGAATTAGCACGCCGTGATATCTCAAAATTACCTAATTATCATTTCGCCTCGTTACCCTCGTGATTTTCGATGAATTTACCGAAATGACTCAAATAACCAGACTAGTGTGTTTATTACGTCGTAATAACTGCGTTATAATGTCTGCAGAAATAAAGTCACGATAATAAGAGACTTACCTGGTCTGCTTTCCATGTTGCGAGCCGTGACCCATGACTCTCATCTCTTTGGACACGTTTCCATTCGCCGGGAAGCCCTTCCGCATCCCGGAAGTAGTTATGTTATCCTTGAAGGTGTCTCCCGGGACAATTAGATAGGTTCCGATATTATGGTCCTTTAGATACGCGTTCCTCTCACCCCCGCGGCCCTCCTCGACCTCGTAATATCCGCCCAGGCAGTCTAAGGTTTCTTTCGTGATGTGCACGCGTCTGCGAGATGTCATTAGCAGCCGTCTAATATCGGTATTGTTGGCACAACAACTTTGTCGTATATAGACGTCGAGAAGATTAATGTGAACAGCAAAATTACCTGCCAGTCTAATACGCGACGACGCGTACTCTGTTTCTTAATATCCAGAGTCGCGTTTCACAAGAATCATGGAAGATCTTGCGATTCGGAATAAACCGCATCGAAAATAGAGAAGCCATACCGCGTGTAATTTATCGCCATCGATCAAGGCAAGAACTTAAAGGGAACAACAAAGTCTATGTGTGTAGGGGGGAGGGGGCAGGACAAACCTCGAGCAAAATTGCCTGTACTCACCCGGGTATCCCTCCGCTCTCCATGTAATTGGCTAGGGTCACGTCGTTACTCCAAACATCGAATTGCCATTTCCTCAGTCCCAGAACCCCGCAGTGAACACGGCCCGTATGAATGCCTACTCTCATATTCACGTTTACGGCCATTACCTCGCGAACCAATCTACGGGGATACAGACACGAGGATTTATTGTTCCTCTTATCTACCCTATCTACCCCGGACGAAAGTACGGACAGACGAATGGATAACTGTCGCGGTGATTCGCGTCACGATCGAAACTTTTTTGCCGTCAAATGCGTTTGCAGAACATCACCAGTGGTAGTTCGGTGCTCGCTATCGAAAAACTTGGAGAGCGATTTCGCGCCGCTTTCACTATCGGTCAAGTGAAAGGGGAAAAAAGCAAGAGACTGTTTACGCGCTTCCCCGATTTTTTCGCGACGATGGAATCGCCGTGGTTCGGCCTCGTGTTCTCGCTCGCTCTTGCTTTTCTTCTCCCTTTCTTTTCCGCTTAACCGTGCTTGGCTTTCCGCGCGCGTTTACTCGCCGCTTTATCGCACGGATACTTAACACGAGATTAGAATTGGAATTTAAACACGCGCGCTCGTGAGGGATTTTATCCGAGTGCGGTGACCCGTGGACGCTCGAGGCTTTTCATGGCGACGCGTATCGACCTCAATCGCGAGCGCTTATACTACACGTTCTCTCCCTCTCTCTCTTTCTCTGAGGAAATCTCTCCTTTGACGACGAGACACGTTTTATGAAAGCACGAACTAAACGAAGAGGGGATATATCGCGAATATATATCCGTGTCGAAAGTTCTGCGGCTTTCCGTCGTCTCGCGCAGATGGACGAAAGCATCTTTATTGCACGGATTTTACTTTGACCTGCCTAGTTCATACTTCAGCGCGGTCTCTTTGCGATTTTATTCCCCCGGGCATTGCCCTCCTCGCGTCTCCTTTGTTTCACTTCGCACGGAGGACGGATGTTATGCGAATCTCGTTTCCGTTTTGACAAAATACGATACCGAAAGTTTCGGTACTTTCGTTATTTCGTTATTGCAGATGTCGGTCGTTCGAACGTAGCGATCGATCATACTCGATGGCTATCTGTTATTTTGTGTCGTTCTTAACAAGCGGCGCGACACAATAACGGCGTTATTCTACGACCATGCCGACAGTAACGAAGTTATCGCGTGAGAGGTAAGGAGCGCGTGCGAACTTACGTTATCGCGTCGATCATGTCCAGTCCCATCTCTACGCAACAGTAAGCGTGATCAGGCCGCGGATCCGGAAGTCCGGAAACACAATAATAGCAGTCTCCGAGGAGCTTTATCCTGAGGCAGTGGTGCTCAGCGGCTAGCCTGTCAAACCTGCGGGATATTTTTCGAGAATTTGACATAACGTTTTATTCGAGCGAAATAATACCGGAGAGATCCAACCGCCCTCAAGCTGTCACAATATATCTACGTCATGCAAACTACGAAGAGAGATAATTCCCGGAGAAGAGTCGTGTGTTTCTTTCCTTGGGGTTGAGTCAACTTTCGAATATGCAAGGCGAAAGACCCAATTATGGGCCTCAGTTATTGAAGCTCTAGAGAAATCTGATTTTTCTCACGAATAAAATTGCAGTTAAACTTCTTGTCTGTACTCTGTGGTTCCGAAAGAGATCTTTGCAGCTGAAATCGTGAACAAATGAAAGAAAAATTGGGTTTTTCTAGAATGTTAGTGACTAAAGAGCTTGTCAATGATTGAATGTTTTACTGTTTCTTAGGGGGTGAAATCCTACTTAAGAGTGAAAAGAGACAGTATTGTTTTTATTTGAAATAAACATCCCCGAAATCGCAAGAGTAACATAATTCTATATGAGCGAGAATTTCAGTCGATTAGAGTGAATATGTTCCTGTATAATGATGGAGTATATCAGATTCATTCTTTAATTTTGAATGAAAATATTCACTCGTCCATTCAGAGTAAAGAATTCACTTTGTGTGAGTGAAGAGTCACTCAGATTCGAGTGACTCGATGGTAACAGTGCAAACCCAAGTGTATTATTTTGGCTGGATCACTTCGCACATCTCTTACCGTTTTGAGTCGTGCCGTTTAACACGTTTCAAATATATAAAATTATAATTTACATGTCTTTTAAACGTGCATTAAATGACTTAAAACGGTGAGAGACGTATAAACAGAGCTTTAGCTAAATTGCACGTTTACGCATTTAAAAGTAACACATTTAAATTTTCAGTGCACTCTGCTTTCTGAAATTTCGTCCCAGGAAATTTTGCGAGCATCCTGCTTGTCGAATACTTAAGTTGACTTTGTAATAATGCAACGGAGAAATATCTACTATCTTTCTTATACAATATTTCACGTCTCTGAATTTGGTTTTCTTAGTTTTATACATAGAATCATAGAAAATATTTATACATAGAAAAATATTTATAATATTTTTGTCATATTAGACACATTTCATATTACACGCGTTTCGCCTTATGATTCTGTTTATAAAACCTAATCAATTCCCAATTTTATCATGTTGTTGATTTTGCTTTGTATACGTTGTATACGTTGTTCACGTTTTGTATCGACGTCCCGTCATTCGCTAATGCGAATGGGTTTACGCGGAGAGGTGGTAAATACGACAACCGCGTCGTGTTAATTCAAGACGACAGAGAGACGGCGCGTCAACAGAAGTAAAGGCACTGACAATCGGGTGATAATCGGTTTATTCAGATTAGTTATTCAGCAACGCGACGCTCTATGTGCGGCGCGTATTATGCGAAATTAATTCGGGGCGCCAGAAGGGCGATATTAATATTTCACGCGCGGCAAATCCGCGTAACATATAGCGCGCATTATATTAAACTAGTTTAGCACGATACACGCAAAATAACGCCCCCGATGGAGTTACGTATACCGCTACTGCAAGCTATGAACGCAGTAATTAGATTGCTCATTAACATATTATCACTAAGTCTTTGTACGATAAAAACCTGTCATGATTTTCGGGTGTTTATTATTAATATTGAAACCATACGCAACGTTCATCGCTTCTACAATATACAAACCACTGAATTACGTGTTTAGCCTGTTTATCCTCTATATAAAGAATATCCATAAATAATAAGTTCGTTAACCCCGATTCTCTCCTGCCCTCCTTTCCGTTCCCTCTCTTTCTCTCTCTTCCTCCCTCCCTCTTTCCCTTCCCCTTTATCTCTCTTTCGTTCTCTCTTGTTTAATAAAGCAGCAGGATTCCATAATATACGAGCTTTAACCATTTTCCAATAATATTGTAATCGGAGAAACACTGTTTCATATTCCACATGCGGAAATTATTTTGACATTATTTATACATTAAGCTTTCTTACTTCTTATCTTGTCTCGAACGGTTTTTTAAAGGGATACTTCCGCATTTTCCTTTTCTCCCCTTTTTTGTAGCAACGGAATCGTTGCATTCGTGGAAATTCTCAAAGTGATATATCGGTCGTATCGATATGAAAGCAGACATCGTCGTAAGAAGTGAAATCCGCCTTGATGACTTTTTAGCAAATCCCTCTTAGTAGTAGGATAAGTAGGATCTATTGACCCGAAGAGTCAGTACGAAGAGAGAGACAGACCGAGAGAGAGAGAGAGAGAGAGAGAGAGAGAGAGAGAGAGATGCAAATCTGAAGCTACTGTGAAGCCCTCCGCGTCTTTACGAACGCGTTCGAGGAAGACGAGGTAAGGTAAAAATATTAATACCCGAACCTAATCATGGACCTTCTTGTTATTCTGGTCCTTAAAATATTTAAAAACTATCAACATAAAAAAAATATGTATTTTCAATATGTGTATATATATTTTATGTTAGAAGTTTAGATATTCATATTTAAGGATCAAATATAGAGCAAAATTAATCGCTCTCATGAAAGATAAAAAAATGTTTTCTCATTTAAAAAATATTTTTTATATGCCAACTTAAACTACTCGGCGTTATTTGAGCCTCTTACATTTAGAATATCGAAACTTAAATTATCACTTATAAAGTGTCAGAGGGATGAAATCAAGATGAGAAGATGGAATTTCCAGGTTTCTCATGTAGTCCATATTTTTTACAGTCCTAGAAAGTAACTATGCAAAATTTGGTGCAGATCAAATAAAGGGTCTAAAGGCAAATAGAAGAAACATGTAGACAGATATTCTATTATATATATTTTTTTATAAATAAATATATATATACTTTTATAATTTTTTTTTTTTCTTTATATTTTTGTCCCAGTTCAAAAAGCTCGGAGGATATACGAGACATGGAGAGTTCAATATGAACGTATATAACTGATATTATTAACCAAGATAAGGGATTGTTTGAATATTAATTGAGTATACGAGTTCCATATGTTTACCGCACATTGACAGAACACGATCTAATAGTAATGTAAATGCGATTTGATATTAATTAATGCGGCTGTAATTTAATATCACACATACTAATTGACTATTCCAGTGTTTCGCGAGAACTTTGATTTGCGTTTATCAGTTTCCAAACACTGCGAATATCCAGATACTTGAGCGGTCGGATTAACGTTGGAACGGTGTCAAGATATCGTTCTTTTAGAAATCTATTCGGGAGAGCGAGTCTTATTTTCGCGCGACTTCAAAAATACTATGAATCTTGCACAGAGTTCACGACCTGCAATCCAGATTTAGCTTACATAGAAACGACTGAATCAAAGAAGTCTTCACGACGACGTTACGTAATTCAATTTAGAGATTACAATAACAGAAGACTTCGCGAAGCGCGGACGTGTATCGAGGCCAAAGTGATGTTCGGCGAAACACGACTCGATCCGTCTGCGATACCTCAAAGGGGATTTGCGCCGAATATAAAGAGGATTTCATAAATCGGAAACAAGAATGTATTTACCAGAAACGTTGCGCGGATTTGCGCGGTGGAATGCGCCCGAGAACACAGGGTGGAGAAAGAGCGGAAAGAAATTGACGATCGAGTCGAACAACTGGAAATGCCCGCGCGATCGGGACACGACGACCCGCTGAACGTTCTCCTGGATGTCGTCGGATAGTTCACCAAATGAGGGTAAATATCGATATATTAGTGACAAAATAAGCGGGTGAATCTCTCGCGGTATGTCCCTGCGTGTTGATCTTATGTTTTAAATTCGTTATTAATACGTTCACTGCACTGACAAAGAAACCCATACAAGTATCCGCCTCTGATTATTATGAATTTATAATATGTTGTATTTTAGATCAAAATAACAGATACATTTTTTATTATATGTGCCCTTTCGCAAGTTTAGGGGATGAATACCTCCTAAAATTTTGAAGAAAATCGGTTTTTTCATTCGAAGAGAATATAATGAAAACTATAAGAGATAGACAAAATATTTTTAATAAAAGTTGAATGGTTTGAAGAGTACTTTACAGAAATTATTTGAAAAAAATTTTTTTTGTTAATATTTTCCCCACCACTTCTTCTTATTATAATTATTAAAATCATTTCTGTAAAGTACTCTTCAAACCATTCAACTTTTATTAAAAATATTTTGTCTATCTCTTATAGTTTTCATTATATTCCGAATGAAAAAAACCGATTTTCTTCGAAGGGGTATTTTATCACTAAACTTGCGAATGGCACATATAATAAAAAACATATCTGTTATTTTGATCTAAAGTACAACATATTACAAGTTCATGAAATTCGGAGGCGGACATTTGTGCGAATTTTCTTGTGAGAAGAAAAAGTTAGATCAACAAAATTGGCGATCATCCACATTCAAAGGAATATTGTATCCATTGAGAAAATCGCGCGTTAGTGCAACAATAAATTGCATTAATATGATTACTAGCTAAATCACAGTTATTGGATCAATTGATATAACTCTTATCACATCAACTAAATAATTCAATCAATCGATTAAACTTTTGCTTGAACAAATCTTCGTTCAAACAGGGTCTTATTGAACTCAATAATTTTTTTCTCAATGTATCAACGTCATATCTGTGTGACGCAAAGATCTCTCACTAGAGATTAGCATGACACGTGTGCGACGGTAAACATTTTTTTTCCTATGTCCATTATTATTACAAGTCCGTTTTACGCAATTACGTAAACAGAAAGTACGAGCTGTGGAAACAGTCCTTTAAATAAATTGTAGTAGCGAACGTGTTAAGGGGATGTCAGAGAATGAACGACGAATACCAGAAATGTCAATAACGTAGGCGAAAATATTATTTCTTGTATATATAAATCTTATATAAATGTGTGCTGCTTTATTTTATTATATTTTTAGTAGAAGATCTCAGCATGCATACATCGAAATCTTTCTGCAAACTTTTCGTGTATTTTCGAGCTTCTAAATTTAGTTATAAAAGTACAGCAATGTGTTCTTTAAAATGTATTTTCTCTTATATGTACAAGCTACAGAACTTTTGTATCAGGCAAATATTTACGTTAACTGACAGCTCGAGATGTCAATTTCGGAATTTCATATCGCCTTCGTCACATGCTCAGCAATGCTCTCCAATTCATTTTCGCACGTACTTTCAATATGCAAATGCATCTGTAATTCTGCTCAATCAATATACGACATAAACTTTATAGAAATTAGTATTTTGTCGGTAAAGCTTTCTGGTACGACATCCCCTTAATTCTCGGTGACAAAGTTGTACTAAATTCGCCGAGCTTCTTACCGTGCAAAAAGTTCGTTGAGCAATCTGACGAGTTCTTCGGCAGTGCATTGATCGGAGAGCGAGGTGAATCCGCAAATGTCGGCGAATAGAATGCTGAAACAATCGTGAAGCAATCGTGTGAGTCAGTTATTTTGCAGCTAGAATTCTCACGAATAAAAATGCGATAGATTCGAAGAGAGAAATACACTTAAAAAGGATCTTCTAATTATTTTGTCCGAAAGCCACTAAAGGTTAGGCGGTGACGTTGGCTCGAGCATGTGGGGGAGAAAACCGATGACGAAAAATTAATGGAAACTCGTTAAAGTTAAATGACATTTGCTCCTTGCGAAAATTCACCGGTTAAGTTAAATTGACCTGGGCTTGGTGAGATGCCAGATATGGAAGTTCCGATGTTACGTCTCAACCCATTTCAAGTGAATCTAGAATTCCCTCTGTGAAACCGCGTGTATTTACGTCGGATCTACGGCAGTGTGACAAATTGCCAAGTTTCAAATTATCAGGTATGAGTGTATAATTAAGCGATCGCACGTGTCACCGTGTACACACGACGCACGATGATATTACTCATAATAATTGCAACAGCAGGACGCTGCGACAATGGCGCAAATCCTAACAAACCGTATCAACTGCGCCGCGCCGAACATTTTGAAAGGACTCCGTGCTCCAAAACATGTGGATTGTAGGATGATACGAAAAATTCACATAGCACGATAGAAATGATAAGAGTTTAGAGATCTAACTTGAGCGGTGAAGAACGTGCACTGAGAAAAAATGTTTGATATTTGCAATTATAATCGCATAGGGAAATAATCACTATAAATTATGATCGAGGAAGCTATTTTTTAATCAAATTCTACTAACAATGTTAGTGATAATAATCTTATATTTATATTATTATTATTAATTTTACAGCAAAAAATACAGTTGAGAAATAACATAAAAATTAACTATAATTTTAGATTGATTAACCATTTTTTCTCTCAGTGTATCATGCAAAAATAGTCGCGAAAATTCCCCTGCAGACTAGAAGAAAAACGTAACCAGGTCTCATTTGCAAAACGTCGAAAGAGCATTTTTGAAGTGACACTTCTTTCTAAGACATAAGGGTCTCCGTCTTAAGGACCTCAGGCGGCTGCCAGCGTCGCACACCATCGATGTACCTGACGTACCTGACGTTCTCGTGTCTCTGAATATAAATCTTGTGGAACATCGTGTCCTTCGGCTTTCCGGCGATGTCGGCTTTCATTTCCATGGCGACGTGTCTCGGCAGCACGCTAAGCAGCAGTCTCTCCTGCAAAATGTACACAATTAGTATAATTAGCAAGTAGTGGAGCAAGTAGAATCGCGGAGCACTCGTTTTAGGCATCATTCCGAACGACCCCGGAGTTCCCCCAAACGATTCACATCGCTTCCTTAAAGTAAATCAGTAAAAATATTTCTGATCGAGTCAGCAGAAGGAGTATTTCATCGGTAATCAGTGAATATTTTCAATGAAAACACTGCCGCTTTACTGCTCCATCGTATATCTCACTGCACGGAAAAAATGCGTAGTAAAAATTACTATAAAGTTTTGAACCAAGCAATAGATCGACACATTTCTGCAAAAATTTATTATCCTTTTGTTTCATATTTTGCTATTTATATATTCCAGGAATTTAAATTTACTTTATGTTCCTCAACAAGACAAATTTTTATTAACAGTTTATTCCTATGTACTATATACTATACTGAAAGAAAAACATCTAAAAATAAAAAATATTTATTTGCGGTAGATAGTGTAAGATAACATATTTACTTATGCTAACATGAAAATATATATCTCCTTTAAAACCTTAGCTTTTCATAAAAACAATTGTTCTATTCAACATAAGAGAATTTGGATTTAAGAAAATATGTTATTAGTACTCAGCAAATAATTTTTTCTTTCTTTTACACACACACACAAAGTGTAGAAACGTGGCAAAACTGAAAAGAATTTATGTGAAAAAGAAAAAGAACTGTGGTTTTGAGCAGTAATTTGGAGCATCAGATTTTGATAGCTTCTATGCGATAGTACAGTCTGCGTTTGCAAACTGCACCAACAATGGCAATAGTCGCTGTTATTAACTGATCCTTTAGTGAGAATTTACCGACTGCAACGCTGTACTTACAGCTGAATCATCAGCTACAAGTATAGCATTTCAATGGAGAGTACGCTGCTTGTACTTTAAAGAGCACGGACGTGTGCTCTCGTCGTTCTCATCCTACGGAGAATTCAGCGAAGACCATAATGGATGGACCGGTATCAGGGACAGGCGACTAATATACAGTCATAAGAGGCAAGGCATTACTGAAACGACCACAGGAAGATTGTTGCGCGCGTACGAAGCTCTCTCGATACGCGCACACGGTTTGAGCTTCGATCTTGAATTCGGTCGCAAATTCGCGGAGAGCAATAACAGCCGTCACGAGACTCTTGTCGGAAGTTCTCTCGCGAGAGAACTTGTCGATCGGAACCGCATCGCTCTGCTCTGCGAAGCGGAAAAAGCGAGCTTTCCGATAGCCAGTAATCTTCGCTATTCTGCGAGCATCGTATATGTATGCCGAAGTGCTACATAGTCTCGGTCGTACATACACTAACAACAAGCGCTTCTCTGCCTTTCGCCTAGCGAGCTCTGCTCGTCAACATCGTGGGAACTTCTCAAGTGGTAAGGAAGCCGACAGTGCGTTCGACAGCTTTACGTCAATGGTCGATACGCGCGGCTGGTTGTTGCACGTTTATAGAATCTACATCGCGCGACATGCAAGCTCGCGTCACGTCACGATTTTAAAATGAGAAGGAAGTATAAAAGAGAGCGAGAGGAAAACAAGTTGACCGCGCGCGCTTCTACACCGCATATGCCCGGGTGTTTAACGATTTTCCCGCACGGAGAAAATATTGCGCTGGAGATCGCGTTAAGATTATATTTCGCTTCATACAATGTTTTCTTGTAAAACTGGATTCTATGCTGACGCATTGTGGTATAAATTACTGTAAAAATACTAGTAAATTCGATTATCTGTCCGAGTATATACGATATCAAGAACATTACAGTGATTTTGTGCACCGGAAGAATTTTATAGTAAAAATATTACTATAGGATTTTGTAGCCGAGAAATAAATCGATGTAAGAAAAATCGATTTCCTGCAATAATTCACTATTCTTTTATTTTTTTCATATGTGCTATTTATATTTTCGAACACAAAGTTCCTTTATTTTGGCTATTAAAATATTTGCTATGTTTCTAGCCAAATGATTTTAGCGAAATTTACTATATTCCTCAACCTTATTGAGTGTCTACATCTGAACTACTAGAAACATAACAAAATTGAAAAAAGAATTTATATGGAAAAGAATATTATCTCCATATATACGGAGAGAAGAAATGTCTAAAGGTACTGTGATTATTCAATAGGTACTGTGATAAAATATTTATTCACGGACAACTAAAAATATTAATTGCAGGAGCAAATTTTCTTGCTTCCATAGCAAAGTTATTTAATTGTGATAGCTAAAAAAATGCTAATATATATATATATATATATATATATATATAAATTGTGTAATTTCACAATATGCAGAAATTATAATCGCAATTGTTATATATTTGTTTAAAACGTATGTCACGCACGTTTGAAATTTTCCTGTGAAGAA